CAGGAGGAAAAGAAGGATACCATCCTCTTTTCCCTTGTTGCTGCCAAAATAAATCCGGCTCCGGCCATTGCAGATCGGATACAGTCGATTTAAGAAATTGTATCAGCAACGATTAATTTTAGCTGGTAAACAGCTTGAGGATGGTCGAACTCTTTTTGACTACAACATCCAGTAGTAGTCCAACCTTCAGTGCAGGTAGATCCAGAACGATATCCGAGGTGCGGGGGGGGGGCAGCTTTATTTGGGTGACCTTATGTTCGACGCTATCAGAAGTTCCCGTTCTCAAAACAAACACAATGGAGAGGGGAGAGGTACTCTTATGTCTTGCATGCCTTAGCGGTCAGACCATTGACCACGCGTCCTCCAGAGGACGAAGCAGTGTTCCCATCACCGACGGCCAAGGGTCCCCTTCCTACATTGCCAAAGGTGGCTCAAAATACTTTCGAAGGGAGAGGGGGGGGGGGAGTACCTTGGGAAATATTCCAACAACTACGACAGTCAACAATCACAACCATCACCAAACACCACACTACTAAACTACGCGGACCGGCTTCGCGAGAAAATAAGTTAATGAGGAAATAGAACAGCGCGGGTACGCAGACCCCATCCCTATTCTCTAACCCTGACCCAACTTCCCCCGATTGCATGCTTTATCCAACACGTTTACTTGGTCGAAAAACCGCCGCGGGCCCACCTGCTCCAGAAGCAAACCCCTGCCAGAAAGAGTCGGCCACAAGAGTCCGCAGGGTTAGCATCTGTCGGAAGTAGCCCCTCGCCGAGGTGAACGCTCGCTGGAAGGTCGCCAGGTCCATCGCTCGGCCGAACTCTAGCAGATAAGCTATCCTCTGGCCGCCTGACAAAACCGAGCCACACAAACATAATGTGGGAGTGATTCTGTCTGAGCAACATATACATATACACCTCACGGGCAGCCGAGTGTTATTTATGATCGGTACATGTGAGATGGTTTTCGAGAGAGGTGTGGCGGCGGTGACAAACCCAACAGCAGCAGTGTCGCCAAGAGAACGATCCTCGGAACGCTCCGCCAACCTATTTGAGCAATGGTGATTCTGCTGGCGGGACAACCACCCTGCCACCTGTTGGCACAGGGGCATGCACTTACCGAAGAACTAATGCAGCAGAATAACGAGAGGACGCGAGAGTAATGACAAACGTGCCATGAATCCTGTACACCATCGATATTCGGCACCGAAATGTAGCTTGGAAATATAAAACTTCAGCGCTCCACGGCCTCACACACAACGGTGTCATTCGACTCCAGGGGTGCTCGCACATCCCGAAAACCCCTACGGGCACACACGCGCGGTCTACCCAGAGGCGATGGCGAGTGTGGACGACCACAAACAGTGATTTGCACGGCTAGAACCACCTACCCACCTAACTCTTGGTGCACTTGCTAACACTAAGCGCCTCCCCCCCAAAAAAAAACCACGAGGACGCGTGGTCAATGGTCTGACTGCTAAGGCATGCAAAACATAAGAGTACGCCGCCCCCCCCCCCCCAAAACCCAAAATCTTCAACAGCGATAGGGTGCTTTCTCGTGCATCCCAAAACATCTCCAAAACAAAAAAAAAACACTGACAATAACTGGGTGAATAAATACGCTTAAAAAAATATTCGGAATATGCTCAGATTTCCTGTCGGTTTCTCCTCATGGCAAATACTTCAACCGTGGTTACATCTCCAACGAGTAGTCTCTCGGAGTACTACGTACATTCTCTTAAAAAAAAAAAAAAAACACTCACAGGTGTTGACGACCTTGACGACGAGGGGGGCGCTCTGCATCTCCAGGTGAACCCCGTCATCCAGCGACATGTCGCACAGCACAGTCAGCCCGGCACTCGTCGCCTCGCCACCGCCCAGGCCTGCGGCGGCGGCGGCCGCGGAAGAGGAAGAGGCGGCGTCGTGCCGCTCTCGGAGCAAGAGCGCGAACAGGTCGCTCTCCCTGCGGTAGATCGTCACCAGGACGCACGCCTGGTTCGTTCGCCATTATTGCGGTCGTTTGGTCGGAAGCACGTGGAGGCGTTAGCAATCAGGAAGGACAGACTTAACGCCCGTCGAACGGAAGGTGGCATCGTCGTTGGGTAGGTGGGGGTGTATCGCCCACCTGTCGTTGAGTCGACACTCCGTTCGGGGGGTTGATTGAAACGGGGCGGCACAAGGCCGTAAGAAACCGTAAGAGAAAATGCAAGCGAGAGGACAAAGGGGGGGGGGGGGGGATACTTGCATCAATTATCAACCAAATAGCAGGTGCTCTCGTACTTTGCATAGACGAACCTTTAGGACGCAAAAAAAACAGCAAGATTTTCAATGTGTCGGGTACTGTGTCTTCAGTTGTCGTCCCCATCTCGGCTATCCGCGAATCTGTGTCCTCTGGGAAGTACACATTCCAAAGGAGTATTTCGTAGTTCTAGGTGTTTTGGGGTAGTTGGCTTGTGACCACGGACGGCGTCCGCATCAGTTGGACCAGATGTCAGAAACTACCTATTAATAGGGGAGACGGAACGTTGTGTCTCACGACCCCGCTAATGGGCTGCGCTGTGTATTTCTACATGTGTCATGTGCCATAGATTGTAGCAACGGCCGGGGGCATTGTCGCCCAAAATGCCATAACCAGCACAAACGGCAAAAATTGTGTGTCAGGAGTGCCGACGAGGCTCGAAAAAGCTACTACTGCTGTACCTGTTTGTGCGATCATCATGATCACCTCTCCACGAAAACACAATTTCCGTTCAACAACAATGGCAAAAAACAGCTGTGTTGGGTTGAGCTCTCAAACCGCTGCTCTATTTTTGTGGTGGGCAAGATCAAGTTCGTAGCAATTTCATCAACACCATAGTCGACGTGACTGCCGTATGTGGCGTGTTCTCTTGTGTGGAGGTATGCATATGGACCCAGGGTGTGAAAAATGATGATGGAGTTGAGATTTGGGGTGTGAGATAAGAGGATCGTGGGGTGTGGGGTGAGATTTAAATTTGCGGGGCGATTACTTGAAGACGAGTGCAGGAATATACAGCTAGACACCTATGCGTGTATTGTAGATATTGTCATGGCTCTAGTGCGAATGGCTCCCGTTGAGTATGAAGATCTTCGGTTTCGTCTCTCACGCAACAGCGTGTTTGCTTCACGAGAGCGACAAAGCTGCGGGTGTGCACGCTGTGCGCTGAGGAAGAGGGTCGCCAGCAATCGTTGAATGGGTTCATTATAACTCGCACCCCCCGCTCTCTCTCCCAGCATCTCCGACACCGCGTAAAAAAGCAGAACCCGGCCCCGACAACGTCTCTCACCTTCCTGGCTTCCCCTACTTCGCCGGAGGCCGAGCACACCTGGCACAACGCCCGCAAGGCGCCCTCGTCCTTCTCGCGAGCAACACCTAAGATGCTTCCTCCTGGAGGATGCTGCTGCTGCTGCTGCTGCTGCATCGCCGCAGCCATCATGTCGGCGGTTTGGTCAGCAGCGGGAGAAGCGGGCACGGAAGCACAGCACCCTTTCCTCGAGCACCTACCGGAGGAATCCGTGGATCCCTGGTGCAGCTCTAGTGTTAGATCCCCACACAGACAGGCGCGAGAGCAGTATTCACAGACAGCCGCTGCCGAGCCTTGCCACGGGGGCCACACAGCCAGCCCTCACGGGGTATAGGGGAGTTCAGGACAAGATGCAGGCGTTTCCACCCATTGCGTAACGGCTACGAATCTTCCGTCTACGACCGCCGCGTGCTCGTCGTAAACGCTGAGGCAGGGAGAGAATAAACCTGGTGCCGGTATCAATCGTAGGCGAGGCAGTTCTAGCGTCAACTAAAGCCACCTGGTAATCAAGGTGGCTCAATAATAATCTCGGAGTCGGGAATTGTTGTTATTTCATCGGAGGCGTTGGCGGACACGCTGTCCCTACAAATAAGGTGTTCGTGAGGTGCTTGGCAGTGGCCGCCACAAGCAGGCAGCTAGCATGGCTCCTCTTCGAGCGAAGAACCGAGACAATCTCGAGTTTGCGACGAACTTGCCAGACAAGGAGGAGCGGAAGCGAGTGAGGAGGCTGCGCGTGGAGAGGCAGATCGCCGCCCAGGACAAGGATGGCTTGGACACGTCAAAGAACGACGACGAGACAGCGGCGTGTAGCCTCAGTCAGCAGCAGGTAATTGACATTGACAACTGCAGATGCAATTGCATGGTACAGAACCAAAGAAGTTGGCGTAAGATAGTCAATAAACGTGAATATTAATATTCTCCATGCGGTGCATTTATTGGTGTGATATGAAACCAAGACGGTGTGAACGATGGTGGTTTTTAGATTACATGCACAATTTTGTGTCGAAGGTTGAGAAAGATACATACACCCCGTAGATAATTATTGGATGGATCGTCCGTGACGTTCCTGTAGTTCCTTTTTGGATGCTACGCTGCCGCAGGAGGGTCGGAAGTAGTTGCCTTTTCTGCATTGCTCTCGTGCTATATCTCTTCCTCAACAACCCGCTGATGGTTCGATATGAAGAACCCTCATGGGCTACAGCAACAGCACGAGCCAATGTGTGCGAAACACCGCGACGCATATACATGTATGTAGACATCACCTGAGATTTGTGGGGAACGATGTTGTTTCCTCCGCCTTCTGTTGAAAATACCCCTCACACACACACACCCCACAACATACAAAACGGTATATTACCATAACCAGGTGGCGGACTCTCTTGGGCACTTGGACAAGAAAAAAGGCAGAGGGATCGACGCCGTCACGGCCGTTCGTGTGTCTGCAGATGACCGAGAAACGCAACGACGCATGGCGGAGGAACACGCACGACAGGAGAGGCTTCAGCGGCTGCAGGTAATACCGCGAGCATGTGATAAAATGGCGAGGGGTTGCTGTCCTTCCAATAGATACACGTTCACCTTTCCTTGTGTTTGAAGGCTGTTTCACATGGTTTCCCAAGCCTTGCTTGTTTCACCTCTCCCATCTACCCACCACCTGCGTCTCCTCTCTCCTTTGTAAGTATCTTTCGCGGATTTGTTGACCACGGATGTAGTCTTTGATACGATACGCAACTCTCTGTGTTTGTGTTCCCTCTCGGTGGTACGAAAAAGAGCACAGAGTAGATCCTTGCTCAGCTCTCAGCGGTGCTGCGTTGTTGATAACAACATCCATTGCATGACATGGTGATGTGACATGATGACGTCATCATTCAATCGCGACCAGGAAGAAGCAGTGCGCAGCGGGAAGCAGAACGCAGCGGTGGAGATGCGTTGGGCCGAGTTATTGGACGAGAACATGCCACAGGAGCTGCACAAAAGCATCGAAGAGCAGAAGGCCGCTTGCGCTGAGATAGTCGCCTCTAAGGTGAGAACTAACGTCAGTATTTAGCCCAACAGCCATACCGTTCCCCCCGACAGCATTGTTTTGGGACCTGACGGTCATCGGCTACGACTTTTAACTATCGAAAAAATCAACCCCCACGCACCATCGAATGTGTCGCGTACTATTGCAGAGTGCACACGT